AGTCCGTAGAAAATGTTTTGATGTAAGCTCTAGAGTTGTTGAGCAATTTATTTTAGGCCTATTTTGCCTCTTTCATATATAGGTCTTAATAGTAAGATGACCGTTCAGGCCCGTGGGGCCTCTTGTTATCATATACTCAATCAAGTCCCAAATCTACATATTTAGCATTTTTTTTAAAAAAATGATGTTTTAAAAATTGTAACTCCAGATTTATATTCAATAGTTTTCAGGTGGCATTCAAACTAGCTGTAAATTTCAGTTGAAAATTTTGACTTTTTCTTTAATTATTTTTAAAGTATATGAAGGAATTTTAATTATTGCTTAAATCAATGTAGTAATAGTTTCCAAAAGTAAATTTACTGTTTAAGGGAAAAACTTTTGTCGCAGGTCAAAAGTGATGTACAAGAAGTAAATGATGTACAATGTATTTTGATTTGTCCAAATTGTTCTGATGTTCTGTCATATTTATAATATCTGGTTTGTCAGACCGATATAAACAAAAAATATGATAGATTTTCAGAATGATTCGGACTATATTTTGATTTAACATGTTTTATTTCAGAAGTGTGAATGAGTTGTGCCATTTGTAAATCTAACGTCAAAATATACAAGATATATATAATTACATAGCAATTGATATCTATAAACAACTTTTTCTTTCTCTCCTTAGAAACAGTACAAAGCACCATGTTTTCCAACTCTTGATATAATGAATCTGCTTTGCTTTAGTTACCTGTATAACATTATAAGTATATACTAAGAGATATCATGTATATAAAAATAAAGAATGTTTAAAATGGGATTTTTGTACTGCTGTAAAAATTTTACAAATAAAACAAAATACAACGAAAAAAATAGCCATTGTATCTTATCACATTTTCACTCATGAAATCTAGAAACATATCAAATTGATTGAAGTGTTATTTTTGTGATGGACTTATTCCCAATAATGGACTTATTACCAGACATGGACTTATTACCAGACATGGACTTATTATCAGACATGGACTTATTATCAGACACAGACTTATTATCAGACATGGGCTTATTACCAGACACTGACTTATTACCAGACATGGACTTATTACCAGACATGGACTTATTACCAGACATGGGCTTAAAACCAGACATGGACTTATTACCAGACATGGACTTATTACCAGATTTGGACTTCTTGCCAGAAATGGGCTTATTACCAGACATGGGTTTACAGTAAGATACCTTGATCTTTATATAGAGATACCTTGATCTTTATATAGACTTGATCTGTATATAGAGATACCTTGATCTTTATATAGAGATACCTTGATCTGTATATAGAGATACCTTGATCTTTATATAGAGTATATATATACCTTGATCTTTATATAGACTTGATCTGTATATAGAGATACCTTGATCTTTATATAGACTTGATCTGTATATAGAGATACCTTGATCTTTATATAGACTTGATCTGTATATAGAGATACCTTGATCTTTATTTAGACTTGATCTGTATATAGAGATACCTTGATCTTTATATAGACTTGATCTGTATATAGAGATACCTTGATCTTTATATAGAGATACCTTGATCTGTATATAGAGATACCTTGATCTTTATATCTTTATATAGAGATACCTTGATCTTTATATAGACTTATCTGTATATAGAGATACCTTGATCTGTATATAGAGATACCTTGATCTTTATATAGAGATACTTTATATAGACTTGATCTGTATATAGAGATACCTTGATCTTTATATAGACTTGATCTGTATATAGAGATACCTTGATCTGTATATAGAGATACCTTGATCTTTATATAGACTTGATCTGTATATGTATATAGAGATACCTTGATCTTTATATAGAGTTACCTTGATCTGTATATAGAGATACCTTGATCTTTATATAGACTTGATCTGTATATAGAGATACCTTGATCTTGATCTGTATATAGAGGATCTTTATATAGACTTGATCTGTATATAGAGATACCTTGATCTTTATATAGACCTTGATCTTTATATACCTTGATCTGTATATAGAGATACCTTGATCTGTATATAGAGATACCTTGATCTGTATATAGAGATACCTTGATCTTTATATAGTGATCTGTATATGTATATAGAGATACCTTGATCTTTATATAGATACCTTGATCTGTATATAGAGATACTTGATCTTTATATAGACTTGATCTGTATATAGAGATACCTTGATCTGTATATAGAGATACCTTGATCTTTATATAGACTTGATCTGTATATAGAGATACCTTGATCTTTATATAGACTTGATCTGTATATAGAGATACCTTGATCTGTATATAGAGATACCTTGATCTTTATATAGACTTGATCTGTATATAGAGATACCTTGATCTGTATATAGAGATACCTTGATCTTTATATAGAGATACCTTGATCTGTATATAGAGATACCTTGATCTGTATATAGACTTGATCTGTATATAGAGATACCTTGATCTTTATATAGACTTGATCTGTATATGTATATAGAGATACCTTGATACCTTGATCTTTATATAGATACTTGATCTGTATATCTTGATCTTTATATAGACTTGATCTGTATATAGAGATATACCTTGATCTGTATATAGAGATACCTTGATCTGTATATAGACTTGATCTGTATATAGAGATACCTTGATCTGTATATACCTTGATCTGTATATAGAGATACCTTGATCTGTATATAGAGATACCTTGATCTGTATATAGAGATACCTTGATCTGTATATAGAAATACCTTGATCTTTATATAGACTTGATCTGTATATAGAGATACCTTGATCTTTATATAGACTTGATCTGTATATAGAGATACCTGTATGATCTGTATATAGATACCTTGATCTGTATATAGAGATACCTTGATCTTTATATAGACTTGATCTGTATATAGAGATACCTTGATCTTTATATAGACTTGATCTGTATATAGAGATACCTTGATCTGTATATAGAGATACCTTGATCTGTATATAGATACCTTGATCTGTATATATAGACTTGGTCTGTATATAGAGATACCTTGATCTGTATATAGAGATACCTTGATCTTTATATAGAGATACCTTGATCTGTATATAGAGATACCTTAGAAAAATAACATATAATAATTTCACCAAATGTGGATTGATTTCTTGAGTTTGGGTCAAGTGACTGAAAACCATATTACCTTTCAACAGGTCCATACAAATCAGTGCATTTAGCTTTACTTTTTTCAGCACAATGTGCTAGCATGGTGAAGCCTTTTTTGTGCATCCATGAACTTTTTAACTTTATCAGGTTCTTTTGCAGAACGTTTAGCAACAGATGTTCTGATATTTTGACCAGAAGATACCTTGGACAGACCATTTTATTAACCTTGACTGTCTGTCCAATGGTCACAATGTGGAAATATGTCATCTTCTCAAATTCCAGAAGACCCTGCGTTCTGATAATGTGTTAGCTGGTATACAAGTGATCTTTGCTGGAAGCTCCTGAAGTCGGCACCAGGAAGAAGTAAGACACATACGTTCAAGTTCATGTAAAAATATTTTGGAAATCGGAATTGATCTCTAGTCTATTTGAGTTGTCATTACACTAGAGTTAGATATATCAAACCCGGTATACGTCACACTTTAATCTTCTACTGGTTGTTTTATAAGGTGAAGGTGACCGTGTAGTCATTGAAACGTCACACTCTAATCTTCTACTGGTTGTGTAATAAGATGAAGTGACTTCACACTCTAATCTTCTACTGGTTGTGTTATAAGATGAAGGTGACCGTGTAGTCATTGAAACGTCACACTCTCATCTTCTACTGGTTGTGTTATAAGATGAAGGTGACCGTGTAGTCATTGAAACGTCACACTTTCATCTTCTACATGTTGTGTTAAAAAATGAAGGTGACCATGTAGTCATTGAAACGTCACACTCTAATCTTCTACTGGTTGTTTTATAAGGTGAAGGTGACCGTGTAGTCATTGAAACGTCACTCTCTAATCTTATATTGGTTGTGTTATAAGATGAAGGTGACCGTCTAGTCGTCGAAACGTCACTCTCATCTTCTACTGGTTGTGTTATAAGATGAAGGTGACCGTGTAGTCATTGAAACGTCACACTCTAATCTTTTACTGGTTGTGTTATAAGATGAAGGTGACCGTGTATTCATTGAAACATCACTCTCTAATCTTATATTGGTTGTGTTATAAGATGAAGGTGACCGTTGTGTTATAAGATGAAGGTGACCGTTGTGTTATAAGATGAAGGTGACCGTGTAGTCACAGAAACGTCACACTCTTATCTTCTAAGGGTTGTGTTATAAGATGAAATGACCGTGTAGTCATTGAAACGTCACACTCTAATCTTCTACTGGTTGTGTTAAAAGATGAAGGTGACCGTGTAGTCATTGAAACGTCACACTTTCATCTTCTACTGGTTGTGTTATAAGTGAAGGTGACCGTGTAGTCAAAGAAACGTCACACTCTAATCTTTTACTGGTTGTTTTATAAGATGAATGTGACCGTGTAGTCACAGAAACATCACAGTCTAATCTTCTACTGGTTGTGTAATAAGATGAAGGTGACTTCACACTCTCATCTTCTACTGGTTGTGTTATAAGATGAAGGTGACGTCACACTCTAATCTTTTACTGGTTGTGTTATCAGAACTTCTATTCTATGTGTGTATATGTTTTATACTCTATGTTTCAGCTAAAAAAACAAATCTGGAAAATGAAAAGAAAAAAATCGTTTTTTTTTGTTTTTTTTTACATGTTTCACCCTTGTTTTAGCTAGCCATTATCAGTTATTTCATTCTGAGAGGACGTCAGTATTGTCAACTTGCTGCTCATTGTTTCATTGGTGATTGGCTACCTTGAAACAACTTGCAACTAACGGTTATCGCCCTTTACAATATCACAACAAATTTACGCTCTTTACGTCAAACCTTGTACCGAAAAAAATATCAACGACTGTACTCCTCAGGCTATTGACATGGCGGCTTTGAAGGAACTTCGCCGACTCCGCGACGAGGAGAGAACTCTTGTGAACATCGCATCAAAAGTCAGCGACCAACTAAATCGATTGAAGGTTAAACCCACAATAACCTTACTTATATTTAGTTAAATTTGGTACCTGTGACCTTTTTGTTCCGTTAAACGGTGACTTTGTTTAGGCCGAAACAATGTTTGTGTCTATAAGTATAACAAACTCATTCAGTACAATCCTGCCAGTTCGGACACATAATGACTTATCGATGCTAGAGTTATTTGCAGCAGTACTAAACTGAAGAAAACGCATTTATTGGATGAAAATGGATTTGAAAAAAAAACAATACTTAAAAACTTACTGGAGATGTTTATAAGCGCCATCAAAACAACGTACTCCAACAAGGTTCTATATTTCCACGACGTGAAACGTGACGTACACCTCGCGCTCGACACAATAACGTCTGATAACAATCTGTCTCTTATGTTATAAGAGTACACGTACTGCCATTAATTCTGATTCAACGAGAGCAAATATTTTATTAATTAACTTTATTGATATAAAAAACATTGGGTTTTATTAGACGGTCGTGAACCTAGATTTTCCTGACAGCTCCCCCTCCGACAGATTTCTCTGTCTTGCTATGGTCCTATTAGTTCAGGGTAAGACTTTCAATATTTAAGGAACTAGGATGAAAAAAGAGGAATATGAATGAGATGTATAGAAGGGGAAAACATTCATGGTATCTGAGGTTATCTAACGTAATATTGTGTTGGTAGGTTGAAGAGCTTGCCCTTGTGAGTATGATACGACAGAATGCAAATCAGACACAGACTGTAGAGGGGGAAAGGAAACAAGACAACAAAGACAGCTGTCCTGTCCCACAGCAGGTAAAGCCACTTCTCACAGCAGCTGACATTTCTCAATATAGTTAAGAAAATCTTCATTTCAATAGAGGATAAATTATGTCAATTTAAAAAATTTGAAAAAAATACAAAATTTTATCTTGTTACATCGTGGCAGTTTTGTCAATATGAAAGTATTAAGTTTGTCAGTATGTATGCTATCCTTGTCTGAAGTTTGACCATGGTGTTTTGTTGTTAAGACTGTACTGAAGGTCGAGATGGACATGAGTGAGATGAATGAGAATAAAACCTCTGAGTTATTGCCCTTGGATCTTGCTGTTAAGCCCCCAGGAGGACCACAGTTTGGTGAGTGTATTCTCGAAGTGTATGGTCCAGTTGTAACTCCATTGTCAAAGCGACCATTGGTTCAGCTATTGAAAACAATGTGGTCATTTAAAAAAATCTTTCATTTTAACATCATGTTTGATTGGAAAAGATAATTTTTACATCACAAGAAGTTCTTTGAGGATGCTCATATCATGAATTTATTGTGATGTACAGATATCATCACAGTGACCAACCACAATAGACCAGAGACTTCCTCCACACTTGTCCTTTATACCTAGTTATAATACTGAAGCACTATTAATCTGTGACAGTGAATGTTAATGAACTGTTCAATTTTTTTAATAGTTCAAAATTTCACAATTTACCAAAAGTGTGAAGCGAAAGGCATATTTTGATATTAATTTTCATTTTATTTATTTTCATAATTTTGCTATTTCACTGATTTGCCCTCATTTGCAATCTGAACAGCTTGGAACTAAAATGTCTGAATCCAAAATGAAGAAAAATCAGGAATAATTGCCTTCAAGAAAACAGCAAACATATACAACCTCTTATGTAATAGGTTTAATTTTTTAATTTTGCAGATGAAGAGGAAGAGGAGGAAGATGATGTGTAGCGTATACTCAGTATCTCCATCACTGACCACTGGTCAAGAAAAAAGATCAGTAGTGAAGAGGCTACACATGGAGCAAATCTGTCATATTTATGTCAGAATCACAGAACTTTGGTACAAGTTTACAGGACTAGACTGTGAATTAAGTTTCTGTGTAAGGTCAGAGATATTGGTTCTTATATTGAGTCAACAAAGCCTGTGCTAGATACATATCTAGATCTGAGTAGCATTTGTCAGGGAACCTCGACAGTTAAAATAGTTTTGGTCGCCATAGATACATGCCAAATCATCCATAGCAACAATCAGGGACACTGATGGCTAGAAAGATGTACCAGGTAGTTGGTCATTATAGACATGTGCGAAGACTTTATTAACGTGGGTCAAGGACACCCAGACAAAGCTGTATCTAGTCACCATAGATACGTACTAAGATGTTAGTAATGTTTGTCATGGACACTGACACCCAGACAAAGATGTACCTAGTCACCATAGATACATACTAAGATGTTAGTAATGTTTGTCATGGACACTGACACCCAGACAAAAGTCACCATAGGTACGTACTAAGATGTTAGTAATGTTTGTCATGGACACTGACACCCAGACAAAGATGTACCTAGTCACCATAGATACATACTAAGATGTTAGTAATGTTTGTCATGGACACTGACACCCAGACAAAAGTCACCATAGGTACGTACTAAGATGTTAGTAATGTTTGTCATGGACACTGACACCGAGACAAAGATGTACCTAGTCACTGTAGACATGTGATATGTTATTAACATCTACCAGCAATGCCAACACTCTGATAACTTTTTATGGAAGGTTTTGGTGGCCTTCACAAAACGCCTAGTTGGATTCTGGTGTGCGAAAAGTTTCTGAGGTCTAAAATAGGAAACCCATCTGGACTTACATCTGTTGGCAATGTGCAAATCCAACCATTTTGTGGTGAGCCATGTTTTGTGGTGAGCATCTGTTTGTGGTGAGCCTCATTTTGTTGTGAGCCTTTTTTTGTGGTGAGCCTTTTTTTGTGATGAGCCTTGTTTTGTGGTGAGCCTTTTTTGTGGTGAGTCATATTTTGTGGTGAGCCTCATTTTGTGGTGAGCCTCCAGAGAAAACATGAAGTATCTGTATAAGATACTGTTGGTAAATTGATTTTTAAAATGTTGAAATTTTAAAGAAAAAAATGATTCAACTGCTCAAGTTAATCAAAATGCATAATAAAAAATGAAGTTGTACATGATAACACTTCTAAAAGTAAAAATCATATTGTTGTTAAAGTTGATGATACAAAATAGAGTATAATAATTCAGCTTTCTGTTTTATTTGTCCACAAAATTATTCAGACTTGCTTTCTGTTTTGATATTGTTGGTGACTAAAAATATTAAGACAAAGTTTTTTTCTAAATTCTTTTAATTCTTCAGGTAAGATTCAAATTTTTGAATTTTTTCTAGGGGTACTTTCTCTACAGTTTTGCCCATAGGATGGCTGACAATAAACCTGCTTTCCCATTTCTCATCTTATCTGTCATGGGTTCCTTGTTATTTCCATATTATTCGCTTATTCTTCTTTTTTTTGTTGAAAGGATGTTTACAGTCTGTCAAATATAAATTTTTGCATGGATTGAAGGTGACGTTGAACCATTTTAGGTCAAATATCAAAGATGGCCACCTTGATGTCATAGGAAAAGTCTTAAAAAGGCAAAAATCTCAAAACAATGATTACTCAACATTCATGCACTCATGTTATTTGTGACTTTTTTCTCTGTAAGTTACAAAAAAGGCCAGATAAAAACCCTCACTGTTAGGTCAAAGGTCATAAATTTGTGAGGTCACCTTTTCATGGTGATTTATTGTGATCATTTACTGTATGCTGTTATGCGTCTGTAAATTTTTCTGACTTCTCAAAATTCCCGGAAACCATTTTGATTCAATTTTGCAGAAACTTTCCTTGGACAAATATGAACAAAACAAGTGAATTATATGGTCCCTACTCCCCATGGGTCTGAGGGGCGGTACCAAATGGGGTCAAATGGACTCCGATTTCAAGAATCTTCTAAATACCAAGATGTGGTAAAATTAAATACTCTTTATGGATGAGAGTGTCTTACGATACTTTACAAGAATTGTGAATTTCATAACCCCAGGGTCTCTCCTTTCCCCCAAGAAGGGGTTAAAGTTTTCTATAGTTTACATAGGAAAGGTAGTTTTTTAGCATAATTTGTTTAATTTACTTTTGAAATATGAAGGTGATAATGAATGACCTTGACTTATTTTCAAGATTCAGGGGATAAAATGTCTTAATTCAAATCTTGAAACAACATCTTCAGAATTGCCAAGAGATCCAGAGTAGTGACTTATAATCAGAAATATACAGCAAATGATTGATATTGATTCAGAGATAATAACTATTCAAGAGTGCTATTCTTGGTAACAAACTCTAAACAAACAAAAAAAAATTCTCCAATTCTACAAGCACTAGAGTTGTTTACGATATTATGCAAAATGCCTAAGTGATTGGGTATCCAAATTGTGAAAATGAAACACCTTGACCCACTTTCAAGGTCATATGGGTCAAATGTCTTTTAAATCTTTTAACAACACCTCCATATATTAATTACAAGTACTGCTGATAACTGCTATGGATTCTCTTGTTCCCTAGCTGTGTATTATTCAATCTTTGGACTGATCTGTAAGAATATTGCCAACAAGCATCAAATATATTGGTATTGGTGGAGGATGTATACCATTGGTGGAAAGAAAAATTGCTGACAAACAACCATCTTTTATGCAACAAATAAGATCATAATTGCTGTTTCCTCAGAAGAATTTATCAGATTTCTCATAATTAGGAATAGATAAGAAGAAAGAGAAAAGACTAAACTTGTTAAAGAACAAAGGAGAGTCGAACAACGATGCAAGTTTAGATCCTTCTGGGACATTTTTTCTAAGAAAAAAGTATCTATGTTTTGGATATTCCTGTAAATCTCTCATTACTAATTTCATACTCAATAGACAATATTTCACTGTCATAGTGTCTACTGATATTTTGTTAATTCATTGGAATATACCTGTTTAGAGGTTTCGTAGATGTACCTGTGGACTGTTTATTAATGTTCCATCTATGCTGTTGTTCACGAACACCAAGGGAGAGCTACTGTCCTTATCCTGTAATAAGCCCATCAAAAGAGATGGTGATGTTGATGGAAGTAGGGTTGGGTGAGGATATACTTCCTCCAACAGAATGAAAATTAGAACCCTCCTAAACAACATTAACAGTAGTACTTCTCTTAAAAGTAAAGGTGGGGCAGGCTTATTAGTGAATAATGAAACAGCTTTGGTGCGTTATTATTGCTGAAAAATGACAACATATGATATGGATGGGCTTATTACTGGACAAATATATTATAAACATACAGATGGGAAAATACTTCAACTTGATAATGAAAGTAAACAACTCCAATATCAATTTCAGTTTGATTTTTATTGACAAGACACATATACAGTTTTTCTCTCTTACATTCTCTCCTTTCTCTTATTACACAACGTTTCTATGTTCCACCGAAGATTAACCATCACAATTATTGGTACATAAATGATCTTCTTGATCCTCATAGTTGATGAGTGTTTCTTTTATTTTCCATTTTTGTAAACTAGTTTTATTTTTGATTCTTCATGAAAATCAAAGACAAAATGTATTGATAAAAAACTTCTTAATTTCATTCACATTTTAAAGTGCCAAATTTTCAATAAAGTTTTCAACGAATATGATTTCATAGTTAAAAAATGAAAAATTTAAAAATTGAATATAAAAAAATTAAAGTATGCATTGTGGGATTGTTTAGACCACACCTTCATTAATTTGAAAAATGTAAAAATTTCATATCAATAAACTTATTTAAAGTGATCAATTCATAGATAAGATGTAGGAAAAAGAACGATTTCTTTAATTATGATAGAAGTAATTATTAGACACTATTATCAATAGAATCAGTTTCTTATACACATCACTGTGTAACTAACAACTTCAGCATCTATGAGGTGTAACTAGCTATATACTACATGTACTCTACTTTAGCTGTGATAAGCTCTGCCTTAAACTACCTCGGGTTGCCTTCTTTTCTTTGAGACATTTGGGAATGAATTCCACATAGTATTAAGCACCAGTGTAGAGTAAAAATATCCCAAGTCCAAAGCCCTGGCCACACTTTGTAAATATTTGGAGCATGGAAATAATTTTATGATAATTCTGCCTCATTCTTACCTATATATGTATATCAATAAACTTACATAGAGACAATGACATATGAACTGTGGACATATGAAAAAAAAAGAATAAATAATTAATGTCCTAAATATGGTAGACAGAATCAGAGCTTATCACAGGAAAATTCTATAAAATTATTGATTTTTGTGGGGTATTTAACTTATTTGGTTTTGTTAATACTCTTAATCTACAAATTGTTAAATAGAAGTAGTCAGATTTATTTAGTTATTTATGAAATCTGATGTCCACAAATAAAAAAAACTTTTGGAAAAAATAAAAACAATCAAGCTCCAGAAAAATATACAATTTTACTCCACAAATCATTCAACCATAACCATGTAAAGATGAAAAATTGCACAACAGATAATGATAAAAAAATCTACCAAAAATAGTTTAACAGATAATGATCAAAAAATCTACCAAAAATAGTTTAACAGATAATAATTACTATTACAATGCTAAAACATTTTTTACAATTAAATGACTGAAATATATATGATAAAATTGAAAATGTTAAAAATATTTCCAAAATTGCAAATAATTCAAAATTATGTATCTCAAAAATGACATAGAATTCAAAATCACATGATAAAGTGTTTTCAGTCAGTAAAATGTCAAACAAATTGTTTCATATTTAGAATTTAGTAAGATTTCTGCAGTACTAGTTCTGTCTGGATACAAAAAAAAAGTCTAAATTTCCTGATAAAAAATTCAGTTAAAATGAAATATTTTTAAAAGTTAAATAAATCATTCCGCACAACCTGTTAAATATCAATTGTGGTCCCATATACAACTTTCCATTGTTGATGATATACTATTCCAAGTTGTAAACACGAAGACAATGAAACATTCCCATCTACATCCCATTGTTGTTACTTCACCTTGGGTGAATTCAACAATGAGTGAACAGATTAGAAAATGAAAATATTTCATAGATTCATTTGCATGTACTAAATATTCTAGAAGACAAAAACATCTACTGTTCTGGTTGATTAGGGCATGACTACAGCTTTGGAGAAAATACTATTGTAAATACACAGAAAACCGGGACTTCCTCAGAAACCTGTCTTAAATACATGTAACAAAATAATGTATCACACATTGCTGTCATAGTAGGCAGATCCTTGTGTGTATATAACTGAAATCAAGAGATTACAGTTGTTTGAAAGAAAATCTGGTTAGCTTGGGCCTGGTTTAAAAAGGTTCTTATAGGTTCTGGTTCACTCAGGCCTGGTTTAAAAAGGTTCTAATAGGTTCTGGTTCACTCAGGCCTGGTTTAAAAAGGTTCTAATAGGTTCTGGTTCACTCAGGCCTGGTTTAAGAAGGTTCTAATAGGTTCTGGTTCACTCAGGCCTGGTTTAAGAAGGTTCTTATAGGTTCTGGTTCACTCAGGCCTGGTTTAAGAAGGTTCTAATAGGTTCTGGTTCACTCAGGCCTGGTTTAAAAAGGTTCTAATAGGTTCTGGTTAGCTCACATTCTATGGAGTGACATTTTTGTTCGGCTGTAAAATTAGGAAAATTGGTTGTTTCATCCTGTTGTCAATAGGCATGATGACGTGATGATAAAAAAAGTGTTTTTTTGGAATTCATTACCGTTTTTACAGCAAGTTTTTTACACCTGAGAATAGACTAATAATACATGTAATCAACATCTCAATAAGATTTACTTTTGGAAAAAAAAATGATATGAAAAACATACTCAGCAAGTCTAAAGTTTCAATCTGGTGAAAACAATCATTGTATCTAGGAATTATAACGACAAGTAAAATAAATATCATCATAGTAAACATTTCTTCAGCATCCAACCCTGATTCAACAAAATATAAATACAAAATGGGCTATATATAGAAGCAAACTTTTTCTCTCCATTCGGAAGTGATGAAATATAAAATATGAAACAGTCTTGAATTTTTTCTCTTTCATATTTGCAAATAAATCTGCAATAGACAGCACATCCTTTCCTTTGTCACTGGAAATTGAAACTAACTATAGCTGCCGTGGCTCAATCATCCAAACAGCATTCTCACAATTTAATTTAAATGAAGATTTATAGAACATTTGTTTTCATTTCTTCTTTTTCTTTGATTCCTTTTCTTTCCTTTGAAGTTTCATCTTTTTCTTTTCATCTTTCTGTCTTTCTTTTTCTTTCAGACTTGAAACCAGCTTGTATGCAAAGAAAACTGGTAAAAGACAAAACATTTAAAACTTTTCAACATATTTTCTCATCAAGAGTTAAATAAAGAAGTACAAAAGAGTAT